AAACACACATATCCACAGCTAAGTTTAGTACATATGCTAGACAACCAACTTACCATATCTACATCATTCATTTACAAACACACATATCCACAGCTAAGTTTAGTACAAGTGCCAGACAACCAACTTACCATATCTACATCATTCAGTCACAAACACACACATATCCACAGCTAAGTATAGTACATGTGCCAGACAACCAACTTACCATATCTACATCATTCAGTCACAAACACAAATATCCACAGCTAAGTTTAGTACATAGCTAGACAACCAACTTACCATATCTACATCATTCAGTCACAAACACACATATCCACAGCTAAGTTTAGTACATGTGCTAGACAACCAACTTACCATATCTACATCATTCAGTCACAAACACACATATCCACAGCTAAGTTTAGTACAAGTGCCAGACAACCAACTTACCATATCTACATCATTCAGTCACAAACACACATATCCACATCTATGTTTAGTACATATGCTAGACAACCAACTTACCATAACTACATCATTCAGTCACAAACACATATCCACAGCTAACTTTAGTACATGTGCCAGACAACCAACTTATGACATACTTTAAATTACATCCAGATAACTTTGCAAAATCTAGAAAATACCCACAAAACAATTACAAACAGCCATAAAATAGTGATGCTTACATTTTGTGAATGGTCATCCAGTCCATCTATTATCTATAAGGAATAACAATTTAGAAAATACCCACAAAACAATTATAGATGGCCAATGGAGTCAAAAAAATATCACCTCTTTCTTGGGTCAGGTATTGAACTAATTTATTTAACACCTAAGTATGACAACATCTATAACAGTTATTTTCAATCTAATATGGGCATCATAATCAGTCCTTTACATTTGTAAATTTTAAATTGTTTAATTTTGTAGCTATAACAAAAAATATTGATGTAAAAACTACAAAGCCTAGACATCTTTCCTTTTCTCACATGTGGTTAATATCGCATCATTTTTGTATCATCAACATAACTGAGCCAAATCCTGGGATTTATAGCAGCTCCATGCAGAGATTTCCGAGTACATAGCTAGACCTTGTTGTTTGTAGTAATAATGACCTTCAAGATGTTCTGAGTTCTATTATTGTGGAGAATGTTAGTTGGTTAGTTAGTTCCTTGATATATGTACGACTTTCAAGTTGTTAGAAGAATATTTTTAGTGTTTCAGGGGTTGGTATGTTGGTGAATAGGCTAATCACTGCATCTTATGAGGTTTTTAGTGTTTAAGGGGTTGGTATGTTGGTGAATAGGCTAATCACTGTGTTTTATGAGGTTTTTAGTGTTTCAGGGCTGGTACGTTGGTGAATAGGCTAATCATTGTGTTTTATGAGGTTTTAGTGTTTCAGGGGTTGGTATGTTGGTGAATAGGCTAATCATTGTGTTTTATGAGGTTTTAGTGTTTCAGGGGTTGGTATGTTGGTGAATAGGCTAATCATTGTGTTTTATGAGACTTTAGTGTTTCAGGGGTTGGTATGTTGGCGAATAGGCTAATCATTGTGTTTTATGAGGTTTTAGTGTTTCAGGGTTGGTATGTTGGTGAATAGGCTAATCACTGTGTTTTATGAGGTTTTTAGTGTTTCATGGTTGGTACGTTGGTGAATAGGTTAATCATTGTGTTTTATGAGGTTTTTAGTGTTTCAGGGTTGGTATGTTGGTGAATAGGCTAATCACTGTGTTTTATGAGGTTTTAGTGTTTCAGGGGTTGGTACGTTGACCTCCAAGGTGTCTTAATCCACTATTGAGTACACACCAAACCTCTTAAATATTCCATGCAGAAAAAACAAACAAACCTCTATTTACAACATTCCCTGTGAGTATGGACTCCAGTACATGAAAGAAACAAAATGACAAACAAAAAGTAGAATTCAGGAGTAAAATAAACATAAAAATACTTATCTATTTGCAAAAGCTCATCAGATCAGCAAAGAGGACCATAGAATAAATTAAAATAATACTGTAATAATAGGAAATGAGCCACACATGATAAAGATAAAAAAAAGCCTTCTTCATCCACCTAATTGATAATACACTCAGACAATCTAACAAAGTAGTCAGCAAAACCTGGATAACCCTCTCATAAACATTTACATAATTAATTGATTCAAGTCCTAATGGGTAAGACCCAGACAAATGGATAGCATACCAGCTTCTCTATTAAGAAGACCCAAGATTGAATCTTAGCCAAACAAACAGTTCTCCTCAGAACTTCCCTGAAGATGGTAGCAGATTATTAGCTGAAGCATAGGATAAAACCCATTAGTAATGAATATATAATCATTTACAAAAAAAAATTAATAAATTAATAATTCATTAATAATTAGATTTAGTTGATTGTACAGGCTGCTAACCCTGATCATAAAGATTTTTAGGAAGTCATCTACATAATTTTAAAGAGAAATATACGCTGATGACATAAACCTGTAGCTTCTTGCTCACATTTGTCTGGAGTCTATCTCCTTCACAGGAAAAATCCACGTGGTTAACTGAGAAACGTTTTCCCTTACGACAGACTTTAAGTTTGTAGTCACTGACTGTAACAGCTCTCGTTGTGCTTCGGTTGTATTTTGACAATGGCTAATGTAGCGCCATATCTTCTGTAGCTTCTCCTTGTATTTTGGAACTTTATTGGTCAAGTTCTGGATGTCCTCCACATGTGTTTGAAACTTAGACTTCTCTACATGAGAAAAGTGTTTTATAATGACTTTTAAACAAATTACGATTACCCTCACAATGCGAGAGTATTTTTCACCTTAAACTTATTAGATGTTAAACAACCTGAGCATTTTTAATGCGTTAGGAATGAAGTGTCTTTAATTTTTGGTTTTTAAATACTAATCACCAGTCTGAAGAATATTTGGTCTGTACTAAACATAAAACTTTACCTGATGCATTAATATGTTGTTTTATTAAATTTGGAAAAGAAAACAAGACTGAACCAGTCCGAAGAATATTTGGTCTGTACTAAACATAAAACTTTACCTGATGCATTAATATGTTGTTTTATTAAATTTTGGAAAAGAAAACAAGACTGAACCAGTCCGAAGAATATTTGGTCTGTACTAAACATAAAACTTTACCTGATGCATTAATATGTTGTTTTATTAAATTTGGAAAACAAAACAAGACTGAACCAGTCCGAAGAATATTTGGTCTGTACTAAACATAAAACTTTACCTGATGCATTAATATGTTGTTTTATTAAATTTGGAAAACAAAACAAGACTGAACTGAACTATAATACTTCCATAATTCACAAATTTATCAGGATGTTTCTTTCTGATAAAAACAATTACAGAGAAGTCAGTTTTCTTCACTCATTTAAATTTGGCTATTAAAGTACAAAATTCAGTTTGAGAAGTTCATTACAGGACATTTTTAACATATATATATATATATCAGTTTTAATATATTAACCAATAAAACACAACTAGGTTACTTGCATTTGTTATGCTTGTTTTTAGAACATTTTTACTACAATGTTAATAATTTAAATCACATGATTACTAACAAATTTCTTGTTAATTTGACACAAACACAGAATTACTCCATTGTAGTATTCTCCCAGTAGTTCTTGATAGCCATAATAAAGTATCACAGCTTCAAGAATACTTCATATTATTTATTGTAAATATAATTCAAAGCCATCTATATACATTTACGTTTATGTGTAACAATTGTTTTAGTTGGACTTCCAAGTAAACCACTTAACTTCAGCTTTAAAGCATTATCACTCTACAGGATATATATATATATATATCTTTGTCACTATCAGTTATCACTCTACAGGATATACATATATCTTTGTCACTATCAGTTATCACTCTACAGGATATATATATATTTGTCACTATCAGTTATCACTATACAGAATATACATATATCTTTGTCACTATCAGTTATCACTCTACAGGATATATATATATATTTGTCACTATCAGTTATCACTCTACAGGATATATATATATTTGTCACTATCAGTTATCACTCTACAGGATATATATATATATCTTTGTCACTATCAGTTTTCTTAACAGTTTTGATAAAAGAGTTAAGCACAAAGGATCACATAAAGTGTAATAGACTTAAAAGACTCAAAACTTGAGCGCTTTCGAATAGTTGACTATTCTTATTGAGAAGAACAAAGGTTGCATTTGTTCTCCTAAAGAAGAATAGTCAAATAATCGAAAGCACTTGAGTTTTGGGTCCTATTTTAAGTCTAGTTTTCTTAACAGATAATTCATTACCTGCTTGTAAAATTTCTTTATTTTCCTTTAACGAGAGCTCCAGTAGTTCAATTCTTCGAAGTATTTGCTGCTTTTTAGATGCCTGGTAACAAAAAGTATTGTACAATACTGACTTAACAACACAAATTACTGTACGAAAAGAAAATCATGAGAAGCAAGTTAATCAGTCTATAATAAAAGTTTAAAAATGTGAGATTTCTAAAGATTTTTCTTAATGTCATTTAGAAATTAAAGGAGTGTGAAATTAACATGACAAGTATAAGGTTTTTCCTAACCCACATTTTAGAACTGACTCTCAAAACCTAAAACACTAAACTTTAGACAAATAATCGCCAGATTATCTTTTGGTAAGAGTTTCAAGATTCAAGTATAACTTGAATGAAGTTTAAGCAGTTCTTACAATTTACACATAAGTCTATACTACCCATTGCCCCATAAAGTTATGCTATTGTACTGTTACGACAGCGGAAGTCATGTGATGCTGCTGGCGTTGGTGCCGTGTGCGAGGAGTTTCTCAAATGATTGTGAATTTCCCAGTGCATTCGGAATGCCCCCCTTTTTAGTATATAAGCCTGGCAGATAAAGCCTGCGGGAGGATTGATTGAAGAGATGCAGA